CAGTAATCGATAGATAATTTTGTAGTCACGCAATTTCAACTAAAAGTAGTGGTTCCAATTCCTCTGTATTGGTGAAGTAGTAATGTTTCAGCTAGTCGATTCCAGTGGAAAGCGCGTTGCAACACGGAGATCCGATAAAATATTTGTCGGTCGTATTACACAAAAACTCACAGAGGAGACATTGCGAGAATTCTTCGACAAAGAAGCTAAAGCTATTGTGGAATCTGCATCGGTAAGGATGCTGGGTGAATGAATGACATTTTCGATGTTCTATTTGGCTCACTTGTTACTCTTTCAGGTGACCAGTGTCGTCATTCCACAACCGTTTCGTAGTTTTGCTTTCGTTACATTCACGCACTCGGAGGTCGCTGAAAGATTGATCAGGTATGTTTTCGTTTCTTAAGATAAAACTGTGAGCGCCATTTCATTTTTCGGTGCTGATAGCATTTATCCGGGAGGTGATGCAGTGGCAAGTGATGCTTATACCATCTGCGCGGTCCGCGGGTGAAATCCCGTTCCGGCTCCCGACTAGTACAGCCAAGCCTTTTACATTCCGAGGAGGATAAATTAATACCAGATTCGTCTGGGATGAAAAAACGCTGACTTATACATCGGCTGGCCCCACAAGTCACTGGATAGACGAAGCAGTGCAGTATTCGGCCAGCACGCTTCTGATGTGGGAGTAGTACGCGCCGCTTCCTTATCCTTCATCCCTTCATTAAGCTTGGGGTGAGCGCGAAATTTGAGGAAGACCTGTGTGTAAAAGTGGATCTAGCGTCACCCATATAGAAGCACCATCTTTGACGTGATCCATCAACCCCAAGTTCCTCCTCCCTTTCGATCACAGTTCGGCAAAAGTCCACAGCTTCGTTACGGGAATCCCATTTTTGTACGAGAACTCCTTCAAAGGCCCCACCATTCTTCTGAGCATTCTGTGAAGTGAAATGTATGTTGAAGGGGCTTCAGTGACAGGGTACAGCATGGGGATGTGCGAAATGGCGGTGTGAGTACGACCCCCCTCGAAGAGGGTCCAGTTACGACCCCCCCCCCTCCTGCTCTAACTGACAACCAGATGCATGTTCACCACAAATGGCTTCCTGAAATGGAATCTGGATTTTAAGGCGGACTCTGCTCTAAAATCCAGGCAATAATAGGCTGTTTCAGCCTCATGCAATATGAGGCTGAACAACAGCCTCGCATTACCTACAATTTTGTCTTAGGATTCAAAATAAAACTCGTCGTTCGACAACCATGTATGACATGCAACTTGTAACAAGGAACACAATCGAAACAGCGACTAATGATCATTGATAAGCTAAATTGGTGAAAAAATAGCCCAAGGTCAGCGTGTCAGGCCCCAGATGTGCATTCAATGAATGGTGACGGGGAAATCATGAAAACATGCACGACACAACAAAGCGAAACATGAAAAATACAAAAAAATGCGGAGCCAAATGAAAAAAATGGATAACCAGGCGGCAGTATATCGTTCTATACTTGGCTATTATCGATCGCAACGTTGCGACCGCTTTCATTGGAAAAACGTCATTGGAGCGCGGTTGTTGGGCCTGCCAACGTCCTGGGGTCTTTTCGGGGGTTATATCTCTTTGAGGGCGCGGCTTTTGATGAATGGTTAGCAGCATGCAACGGGAATGTTCCTACTGTTGCGTTTTCTACCCAGTTGCAATCTGAATGTTTCCCGTGAAATATTTCGGATGGGTTTCGGATCGGCTAGGGGTAAATGGCAAGCGGGTTTTTATGCTTCACACGAGGATTACTTATTTCGAACGCAATTTCATCAGGATTAAAATCGTCTTGAAACCGCCCTATCTTTTCTCTTTCCAATAAGCTTTACAGTTTTCCTGAAGACCCGCTAGTTCAGGAGATATTTTAGATGGGTCACAGACGCGCTACCCTCTGACCCACCCGAAAAATCGACTCCTTCTGTGCCATTGTGAGGATACACCTTCGGAAACTTCAGTGTGCCTTCAAAACACATATTTCCCTTCAAATGAGTGAAAGAGGAGCTCGGCTATCACTGATCGATTTGGTCCGAGTGTGCGCCGTGCATTACGCTCCTACAGAGGTGGTGGAAAGGTGTAAATTCTGATTTCAGGTGCTTTTATCCATGCAAGCAGATGTTTGTTTAGGGTTTGGAAAGGACAATACGCACGAATCTGTTTGAGACGTATTATTTAGTCATCTACGTACTTACGAGTTCATGCTATTAACTGATATTTATTTATTTATTTATTTATTTATTTATTCTTGCTATTCTTGCTATATTGCAATAAATTTTTTATTTCG